TCCGAGGTTGTGAGGTCGCCAAGTAAAGTGTGCGCCAAAGATCCCTAAACGGACTTTGAAATAGAGAACGCCCATACCCTGAGCCCTAAACCCTAAACCCTACATGTATTCGGGAAGATGAGTCCACACCACTGCTTCCGCACTCCCCACAAGATCCCAGCGCGATAACATTAGACTGACCACCAATAAACTCTCGGCTGCCCGGACTTAAAGGGTTAATGTAGGGGCCTTGAAGATTAGAATAGGGTCTGGGGGTATATTATTATACTGTAATCATAGTAAGGAACCCCCAAAACCCTATTCTAATTCTTTTGAAGGCCCCGACATTCATTGAAACACTTGTCGGGGTTAGGGTTGAGGGTATAGGTATAGTCTGCTTCTTGGGTTTTCGTGGCCTGCCCTTGGCTGTGGAGGATAGCTACTTCCAGACCGGGGACGATGCGGTGGCCATCAAGAGTGGATGGGACTGCTTTGGGCGTGGGGACTCGGCGCTGAAGCGGCAGCTTCTGGAGCGGAGGGGCGCTTTGGGTCCTTCGGGTGACCCTGTTCGCACCGTTCGGCGATGTCTTGGCCAGCCAGCAGCGCTAGTAAGTAACAACTCGGGACGGGTATGAGCAAGCACCACGGCAGGGATGTGAAGGACGACGACTTGTTGGTCACAAAGTCATAAGTATGACTCACCGGTTCCACCGCCAGCACTGCAACCAGCAGCACCACCACGACACGACCCGCACCACTTGTTTGAACTTACCTGTACTAGTAAGTCAGGATGGAGTTGATCCTCTTGGGCGACGTGGTTTGGGCATTGAGAAAAGGTCTCATCGGCTCGCGAGGTGGAAAACGTAGCTGCCAGCCAATAGGGCCCAATAGGGCGCCGGTAGAGTCGGTAAAGAGGCTTGTTATGTCATCATGCTCGCGACATGCCGCACTTCTGTCCTTGGCCTTGGCAATGGTGTGCCAAAGCCACAGATTCGTGGAGCTGCAAGAGATCCCCACAAAAGGTGCGTTCGATTTCACAGCCTTCTCCATGGATGGCACTCAGCACCTCGCGGTGGCCAACTACTTCGATGGCAGTTCCCGCAACATTGACTCCAAGATCTACAAATGGAACGATGCCAGCAGCACCTTTTTGGAGATGCAGAGCATACCCACCAAAGGCGCTCGCCGTTGGACAGCCTTCTCCATGAATGGCACTCAGCACCTTGCAATGGCCAATCACTTCGATGGCAGTTCCTACAACATTGACTCCAAGATCTACAAATGGAGCGATACCAGCAGCACCTTTGTGGAGATACAGAGCATTCCCACCAGAGGCGCCCTCGATTTCACAGCCTTCTCTATGGATGGCACTCAGCACCTCGCGGTGGCCAACTACTTCGATGGCAGTTCCCACAACATTGACTCCAAGATCTACAAATGGAACGATGCCAGCAACACCTTTTTGGAGATGCAGAACATTTCCACCAAAGGCGCACATGGTTGGGCAGCCTTCTCCATAGATGGCAATCAGCACCTGGTGGTGGCCAATCAGAATGATGACAGTTCCCACAACCTTGAGTCCAAGATCTACGAATGGAACGATGCCAGCAGCACATTTTTGGAGATGCAGAGCATCCCCACCAAAAGCGCCCTAGGTTGGACAGCCTTCTCCATGAATGGCATTCAGCACCTGGTGGTGGCCAATCAGTATGATGGCACTTCCTACAACATTGACTCCAAGATCTACAAATGGAACGATGCCAGCAGCGCTTTTTTGGAGATGCAGAGCATTCCGACCAAAGGCGCAAATGGTTGGACAGCCTTCTCCATAGATGGCATTCAGCACCTGGTGGTGGCTAATGCTTTGGATAGCACAGGTTCTTGGAATATTGACTCCAAGGTCTACAAGTGGGACGATGCCAGCAGCACCTTTTTGGAGATGCAGAGCGTTCCCACCAAAGGCGCTCGCGATTGGACAGCCTTCTCCATGAATGGCATTCAGCACCTCGCAGTACCCAACTACTTCGATGATGTATCTTACACCACTTTTTCCAAGGTCTACATATGGGAGACCAGCACCACCACCACCTCCACGATCACTAGCACAGCCACCATGACTACCGCCACGGCCACCATGACCACCTCCACCACCGCGAGCAGCAGCATCACCGCCACTTCCATCACTACGGGCACTACCACCAGCACTTCCACTACCACCACACGCACCGAGGCTCCCTCTGGCCTGGCAGCGACTGACTTGGCTTTTGAGGATGTAAGGTCCTGGTCATTGGCCGCCCTGGGCGGCTACCTGGTTGCTTTGTCGGTGCCCATCTTCATGGCCAAGATGTCCGGACAGGCCGGCTCGCGACCCCGGCAGTCCATCGAAGAACCCCAGACGGTCGGAAGTTCCGTTGAAGAAGGTCCAGACTATCTGCGTGAACCGGCAGGTTCAGTAGTGCACGCGGATGCATCGTCAGCAGGCCCAGCAGTTCATGGAGTTGAAGCCAAACAGTCGGAAGGAACACCCCTAGCTCAAGAAGGGCAAGCTTCTCCGCAGAAGCTTTTGCCAAATCTCAGACTTCCCGAAACATTTTCCGGGGCACGCCAGCTCATAAAGAAGTCTAAGTACGTCCTGGCAGTGAAGATGCTTCTGGAGTCCGGGAACCTGCTTTCATCGCACCCTGCCTTGCAAAGAAGGGGCAACTGTTGCACAGCGGGAACGCGGCAACAGCTGCCAGGAGTTTTAAGGTTGCAAATGTACAGACGCTGTTCCTGCGTCCTCTCGGTTTATTGTGGACCGGTATGATTGAATCCAGCCGAGGATGCTCTATGCGATGGAAGCGCATCAGCGCGCAATGCTGGTCGGCTTTTCCGCACAGTGTGGAGCAGGCACACTGACTCCTGACAACCCGAACCCCCGCCCCAACCTCTCAACTCTCAAACCTCCAGTGACCCTCAAGGCCCGTAACCCCAAACCTGACAGACCCTGAACCCTATAAACCCTCAGCCATGTGGTGCAGGCATCCTGATGCCCGTGAAGAGCTGGGAGTGTCCGTCCAGGGCCGAGACAGCAGAGCTTCCAGCTTGTCATGCCTTGCTGGCCGCGAACGCCCTGTGCGAAGCAGATGCAGAGGCGAGGTTAAGGTTTAGGGTTTAGGGTTAATGCAAGTTCGAACGATACCTAGACCCTTAAATCTAGTACCTTGGTTAGGATCCTATAATAAGAAACGAAGGTAACCCAAAAAAGGTACTACATTTAAGGGTCTAGGTATCATGTTGAAGCGAGATTCAACACAGATGAGGAAGATGCGCGTAGGTTAACCAGACTAAACATGATGCAGAGTGTCATTTTGATGCTGTGCCAGGCGGACGACGGCAGCTGCGTCGTGCCACAGGAGTTGGACAACTGTGCCGATTTCGATGTGTACAAGATGGAGCCGTTGGCCTGTGGAGCGATCGGATGCAAAGCCCTAAGCCACATTCTCTGGATAGCCGCTGTGATGTCGTTCGGTGCAACCATTGCATGGAACACCAGATTCTATGCTAGCAGCCTTCGAAGACTACAGCCAGACGAGGGCCAGCGGCTGCGTATTAGTTTCAAAGCGCTGTTTGCCTTCCTTGCCTCCTTGCTGGTGACCACCACCCTCGTTGGATTTGCTGGTGGCAGTGCGGCAGTCTTGGCAATGGCCTTCCTGTGCCCTCTGCTGCCGGTGTGTGCCTGGGTGCTGGCCGCATGGCTCGCTTCCTTGCCGGCGAAAGGCAAAGAGGCCAGGCGAAAGCTCTGTTGAAAATAGACTACATGGCTTCGAGATCCTAAACCCTAAACCTTATAACCCTGAACCCTAAACCTTATAACTTGAACCCTAAGCCTTATAACCTTGAACCCTGAACCCTATAAGCCTAAACCGTAGTGCGGACATTTTTTGATGTTTTGGGGCCTTGTCCCGGTGTGCCATACGCAGGCGATCGTGAACCAAGCGGCAGCTCTGGAGCTTCCAATATTCAACGTGTTCGTCGCCCTGAATCTGAGGCCACTATATTTAGTCAGTATTGTGTAGTTAAATAAACGAACAAATAAATAAATAAATCTATATATATATACACTGTATGTATGTATGTATGTATGTATGCATGCATGCATGCATGCATGGATGTATGTATGTATGTATGTATGTATGTATGTATGTATGTATGTAGACACATGTTGGTCAAGACTGTATTTATATATATATATGTAAATATGATTATAGGTGCATGTTGGTTCAGGTCCCTAAACCCTAAGCCCTCCGTGTAATCAGTCTCTGCCTTATCTTCTGTGGGCAAGTTGCAGATAGGCAGGGTTCATGTCGGGGCAACACTACTGACCATAGCCTTTCGATATGTCAAGCATTCCAGCCTTGACACGATTTAGGGTTTAGGGTGTAGAGCTTCGGGTTTGCAGGTCAGAGAAGGACGTCGAAGCTCTCAATGACTTCCGCGTGCCTCTTAACATGGGGCTCAGAGTCTTAGTTTTCGAATATCCAATCTTGAACCCTTTTAGAGTCTTATAACTTAGTAGTAATCTGAAAGTTTAACCTTTGATTTCCCTGACTTCTTAGGGAAGTAAGGAGTCGTGGAAGACATTCCAGAGCTCATCATTGGCCTCGTTGACTTGGTCTCTCAGCTTCTCAAACCCCCTAGCTGTTCCCTAAGTTTCGATTCATAGGACTTATTTCAATGGCTCAACACTCGGGTCCAGGGATGTGCATCTCCAGACGCTCTTCCGTCTTGTTTCGCACTTCTTGAGAAGATTTTTCAATTTCCCTTCATTAAACTCTAAACGCTGCACCCTCTACCCCGCACCCTGAACAACCCACCCGAGCCCTGTAATATGCCCGAAACCTGCAACCCTTTCAGTATTCAAAGGGTGTTTGCCGAGCGCCGAGGTCTACTTCGGTGGGTCTTGGCAACTTGCGGCAGGTTTACAGTTTACATGTTTGCAGGGGTTTCATGCTTCATAGGGCCTTGATTTGGCTTATAGGGTCTTATGGGGCCTATACGGCTTATAGGGTTTATAGCTATGTGGCATAGACCTTTAGGGTCTATGTGAGTATTCTCTAGGGGTCGTACGAGTATCATTACTGTACTAGTACTCGCCTCGTACTAGCACTAGCTTGATTTTCCGTTGATATGGTTGAAATCCCAGCCTTCGGGAAAAGCCAGAAGGAGTTGAAATTGTTAAGAGTTTAGCCCTTCGAACCATTTCAATCATTTTGAAATAGATTTTAAGCATTTCCACCATTTTCAACACTTTGGGTTTCCCCGGGAGCACCGGGGTATTTTCGCCATTTCAACCATTGCAACCATTTTAAATGCTTTGGGCTTCCCTGAGAGCCACGGAGTAAAACAATTAACCATTTCATCCATTGTGAGATGGTTGGAATGGTTAAAAAAAAATCCTTGCCTTCGGGCAAAGTCTTTACACTCCCTAAACTCCCTAAACTCACAAACTCCCTCAACTCTCTAGGCTCTCTAGGTGAGTTTGGGGAGTTTGGGGGTTTTGCGGGGAAGGATTCGGGAGGGAGTTTAGGCAGTTTAGGCGACCACCGCAACCGACTCCCTAGTCTCCCTAGGCTTTAGGGAGTTTAGGCGAACACCGCAACCCCCCAAACTTGCGAGACTCCCTTAAGTTCCCTCAACTCTGTAGGCTCTCTCGGGGTTCCGGGGAGAGAGTTTAGGGAGTTTGGGTGACCACCGCAACCCCCCCAAATTCCCTAAACTCCTTAAACTCCCTGAACTCCCTAATAAACTCTCTAGGCTGCTTTCTGTGCAATTAAGTTAAGGCGCGTGTAAACTTGCGCTTTATTACAATTTGAACAAGGCACAAGACTTCAAAAGACAGAGATTTCTCCTGGAAAAATCTCAATCATAAGCTGCGTCCTTGGTTCGTAGGCTTGTTGTTGTTGTGGCTCTTTTTCTTAGTTCCTGTGCCTCGTTTCGCGCTTACGTTCACTCCGCTCATTTCATTGCAAACAAGCCACAAGCAAAGGAAAGGCACAATCAAAGCCCAAGAACCAACCCTCTCCTTTGAAAACCAACAATTGACAAGTTACAGCATTAAAGGACAATCAAAGCAGGAAACACACACCCAAATACGCCAATTGATTACATTGAAAGCATGATTTGATGGCGTGTGTTTCGGTCTCTTGTTCTCTTACCTTTCCTTTTATTCTTTGCTTTCACTGTACACTTCATAGCTCATGGTAAAACTCACCACCCGAAAAGGGCATTAACGACATAAGAGCCGAAATCATGCCCTTTTTCCATTCCATTACATGTCGCTGTACTAGTTTATTTAGTTTCTTTTGGTCTTTTTGGTGGTGCGTGTCTTCTTTGTTGTTTTGGCTTTAGTAATTTAAAGCGTGCTTCCATTCCATTCATTACCACTAAATTATTACAGCAGACCAACGACGAAGGCGCCACAAGGAAGCAACCACGAGAGATAGAATGCTTCTTGGATTATTTGTTCCTTGGCAGTCCATGGTCAACACTTCTCGGCTACAGACAGTTACCTGTTACATCCTGATTACTTTCCCACTAAACCCAAGAGGTATCAAAACAACGCATTGCACGTTGTTTCGTCTGTTTTTCGTCCATGAAATAGACTACACCACCCAAGTAACGGAAAAAGGATGAGTGGTTAGAACTAGCTTCTGATGTTGAATGTAAGCTTAACTTAATCCTCTAATTCTTGGTTTTCTTCTATTTTTGACCAGTTGAATCACGCTTCCTTTTGTTCCTCATTTCATTGTAACCAATTGTGGAAAACAGAAGAAAATGAGACCAAAAGACAAACATGCGGTGGTGGGCCTGAATGGTTGGTACTTGAGTGAAAATGAAGCTCAAGGCCAGAGGGCTACAGGAACGCCCAATTTTCCAGATCTACAATTAATCATCTCCTGTACAGCCTAACAAGGAACCACACAAGAAGCTCATGCAAGAAGCATGCCAGATAAGATTGGAGATGTTGATAAAAGCATGAAAGCTGTAATCAAGAAAGCCCAGGGAAATATGGGATAGTCTTTAATGTCAGATACTAAGATCTTAGTTTTAGATCTGTTGGGACAAGTTCACAGTAACACATGAAGATATATCAGAGATGAATACTCCTGGGTTTTAATAGGAAAGACGGACAAAACCTCATATAGACCCTAAAGGTCCAACGCACATTGGGTTATAGGGTTAGAGGGTTTAGAGTTTATAGGCTTTATAGGCTTTAAACTTTTAAAGTGCAGACTATTCACAGATTTTCGTTTTGACAAGGCTTCATCGGCAGTGTACCGGTAAACGGTTACGAATCCTTTAGGTAGGCTCTCGATGCACGCATGCAAGGTACGCGTGGTTTGGAGCTTTGATGTCCATGGCGATGCTAGTGTTCGACCTGCTACTGGGTGCCCTGCTACAATGCCAACAGTCCGCATTGAAGATTGCACGGAAGACGGTGGACACGGAGTGATCTCATGAACACCCGGAGTTTGCTGAAGCTTGGAGGGACGTATCCATAATTTGTGGGCCTGACTAATTACCAACACTATTTTGGGGGTCCCTGATTATACTTATTCTATACCCAAACCCTATTCGAATTATTATGGTCCCTACATTCCATGCAACACCACGGGCGTTCTGCCCACGGTGGTGTCACACAGTTACCCGGTTTCAAGGGCCAGTATGCTCAGTGTGGAGTTTCTTTTCCACGGGCTTCTGCGAGCCATCCCGGATCACGAAACACGCCGGAACAACGGCAGTTCATGGAACGGGGGAAGCGCTTGAACAGTCCGCTTATCCTCTGCATCTCCGGGCCCTGTTGGGGGCCTGGCGGCAGAGTCTTTTTGCCTGAAGCTCCCGCAGCTGGTGTGACAGAATTCTGGTGTAGAGTCGCATACATTTCGTGAGTTGGATCTGGAAGACAGTCACAGTCACACTTTCTGGCTCCAATCCGGGCCTGGCCAACGAATTCAGAATGTAAGTGACGTCACATTCATTTGGAGAGACGGGTGTCGAAGACATTCGCTTTCGTACTTTTGCATCTCTGGGATTTCTTGGGTGCCTGACAAAACCCCTTAACCCTAAACCCTAAACCTCCTAAGCCCTATACGTCCTAAACCCTAAGCCTTTCTTGGGGGCCTGGCCAAAGAAACGTCCTTGTCGCCTGCCTGGGCCGTGCAGGAACAGCCGCAGCGCGCTGCGGTGCCGGGGCTTTAACAATAGTATTAGAAATAACATTAATATTATTGACAATAATAATCATACTACTACTTTCAAATAATATCAATATTCATAACAATAATTATCATCATAAGCATATCAATAATAGTAACAATGAAAACATGTTTTGTTTTGCTTTTGCCCTCGGCGCCGCAACCTGCCTGGGGCCTTCGGCTCTGGGGTGGGAATTTTCGTCCCACGTGCCTTTAGGGATACGGTTGCCAGAGAGCCCCTTAGGGTTTAGGGTTAGGGTTTAGGGATTTTCCTTAAATTTTTGGGGCCTTCCTTAATTAAGGGGTATTGGGTTCTCTGGATTTTCCCACCTCAGCCAGCCACAACAGGACCAGAGACCGCTCAGATGTTTTGAAATGCTGAATGACCTTGGGGACCGAAGCACCCTTAACCCCTGGACTATGAATCCATCTATGGTATATAAGCCTTAAACCCGTTTAGGGTCCATGTCGTCCTTAAGGGAGCGTTTGCAAAATCACCGAGTTGCCAACATTGCCGTTCTGGTAGCCGTTTCAGTGAATACTCTTTATAGTAATCAGCCAGCCCTTGTAGTAACCCTTTTAGTACTGGAGTTAGGGTTTGGGGTTGCTCTCATCTGTCGGCCTTTGTAACCATCTGGGGCGGCAGCCAGTTCCTTCATGTGGGCTTAACCAGTCTTTATGCTCGGGATCCTTTAAGGTAACCCCAGAAAGGAACCACAATGGAGACGAAAGGCAACTTTCAGGCGTGGGTTTCGGGTTTTGGGCTTCCGGGCAGACTTCGTGGAGAAACGACTCACCGATCAGGTAGAGAGACCGGTGGGGTGGAGAAAGCTGGATGCCAGACCCTCTGTGCCAAATGTGGAAGTTCCAGCGAAATTTCCTACAATCAGAAATGTCTTCGGGCTCCTTATGTTCACTACATTGCAACCCCGTCCAAGATCCTGCTTTGATTATGTGGGCTCCTATGCTGGCATCTTAAACGTCCTTACTTACGCTGGGTAGATTCGTTTTCTGGCACCCTTCGTTCCTTTAGAACCCCTATAGTAACCCGTATAGACCCCGTTTAACGGAACCCTAAACGCTCAACCCAAACCCAATTCTAGTCAAAGAAAAAACCCTTGAGGCGACGGCTCGCGGTGGCGTCGGAAAATGTCACCATCCGACGGGTGGCGGTCCGACAAACAAGGCCTCAGGGAACTCTTTGGGTTCCGGGGTGGGGTTTAGCCCGCCGGGGTTTAGGGTCTAGGGTTTAGGGTTTATACGGCTTTGGGTTTAGGGTTTAGGGCTTCGGGTTTAGGGTTTCTAGGGCTTTGGGTTTAGGGGAGTTTAGGGTTTACCCTACACCCGAAACCCTGAGCATGTTTCGGGTTTGGGATCTATGGCTGGTTGCGCGGTGGAGATCTCTGTGTCAAAGGGGTCTTTAAGACTTGGATTTGAGGGTTCAGGGACGCAGGGTTTGGTGGTTGTTTTGGGGTTTACCTGGACCCGAAACCACCTACCATTTTTAGGGACTTACATAAGGAAATCATAATAAGGAGCCCTAAAAAAAGGTAGGTTCTTTAGGGTCCAGGTAGGGTGCAAATAGGGTTAGGGCTATAGGTCCAGGGGATGCAGGGTTTTGCTAGAGGCTTCCTGTAGTTCGGAGATACCTTTTCTGAGGGTTCTTGGGATTCTAGTGTTTCAGCGTTCGGCGCAGAGTCCATGCTGAACTACTCTACAAACTGACTTTTTCAGGACGACCAAGTAGGACTTGATGTTCACCTGCATGCTCCCCCGCATCCGCGTCCATCCTGCTGCCCCGCTCTCTTGAAAATCGTCACAGATAAAACCCTAAACTTCAATCTTCTTTTTGTCAACCTTCTCAAGATTCGCAACGAGAAGTTGACAAGCAATAGCAACAAGCGGAATCATAACGCGAAGAGCAGCGGTTGAGGGGGTTGAAGTGGTGGCATTGGGCATTAGGCTGGTTCACGATTGCAGGCCTAGTGTTCCCATATTCACCGAATGACTGGAGAACAGATCCCTGGCCTGCAATCAATGGCTCAGGTTCGATGCAGTCCCGCTGGAAGTGTAGGTTTACCTTACAACCATCCCCGCCCTTAAACCCTACACCCTACACCGCAAACCCCAAATCGCAAGGGTTTGCCTCAAGCTCCATATACTAAAAACTGTTCATACACACCACCAACAGCACCTCTCTTCTGAGGTGGGTTTCTTCCCGAATTCCCCAACCCAACATGCTCTTGTCCGTAACCCCAAACCCTGAAGCCTACAAGCTGCAACCTCAACCCCTAAACCCCTAAAGCCCTGAACCCCAACATCAAAGCCGTAAAAGCGCGAAAGCCCCAACACCGGACAGACCTGCTGCCAGGGGCTGC